CACTTTGTTATATTAAGTATCTGCAATATTTTGCTTTTATTTTATGATCTACCTTGTCTCCAGACTGTTTGATTGTGTCCTTTTACTCTAACAGTATGAGACTGTCATGAGTCAATTTTGAACACAGCACTTTAAAAACAGCTCATACTTTGGTGAGCTGAACTTTCAATTAACTAATTGCAATTCACCTCTTCCCTACTCTTGTAACTTTACCAAACAAAATGAATGTGTAATAATGAATATGAATGTCTCCTCTTTCAAGAATCAAAAGACCTAGAACTCTACCAACAATGAGTGGTGCACTGTGTTGATATGAAAGTGTTATCTGTCTATAGTGCATAATCTGCTGTTGGAATTGCAAGGACTAAAACAAAGTTTTAAATTACATTACCAAATAGTTCCATGTAAAATATTTGACTATTCTGCTGTGTATTACATAGGAGGTTTAACATCCACAAACAAAACTGGACAACTTCTCCAGCACTGCTACAGTGTCAGGTACTGCAGGTGTGAAAAGTGGCAATATCTATGAAATTTCGGCCACCCTACAGAGAGATGGGTGTTTTTATTTGACCTCACAAAGGGGCAGGGTGATGGAGGAGAGGGAGGGGTGGGAGGAACTTGGGCGGGGGGGGAGAGAGAGAAGGAGAGAGAGAGAGAGAGAGAGAGAGATGGAGCGCGCGAGAGCAAGTAAACAGCAGCTGGAAATCATTTTAACCTGGCTTCCTAATCAGATTTAACCTTAACACTCTCATAACCTGTCCCTCTGGTTCTGGAGTTGGGGGCGGGGGGGGAGGTGTGTGTGCAAAAAAAAGGGGGAATTACTGGATCAGGATCAATTGGAATTCTAAGGAGTTATCAATCCCCTTTTTCTATTCTCAAAATTATTTCAACTTGTGCAGAATCCATGCATTCTGTCTTTTTGTTAAAAATCTGTACCCTTCTGCAGACAGGGAGATGGCTGTTCGCAGGTCACACCACATTCCTGCATCTTTTCACCATGTATTGAGAAACCTCTACCCCCATTCATTTGGCCAGAAATAGATCCTGCAAGAAAATCACTGGCAGAGCAAAAGGCCATTTAAATTGGAAGCACAAGCCAATTACTTATTGGTGAATTAGAAGAGAACAGAGTCCCAAATCTTATATACGGCCAGGAACATGAGGATGGAGCTGGTGTTGCCTTTTGCCCAAAGTACTGGACCAGGTTGCTTGGTAGGAAAGGGACAGGGAACACACAACTCTGCTCAGAATCTGCTGGGCACAGCTTCACATCTGATGCACTCCCCAGTGGGAGGGCCAACCTGACTGCTCAATAATTCTTACATGGTATAACAGTAATTTTAAAAGCAGTATTCTCAGAAATCACTCCCTGCACCCAAACACTCCCTCACCAGTCCCAGCAATAATCATCATTATTCTCACAGAAAATCTTTGTTCTTCTCCATGACTCCCATCCAGGCATTTCACATTATCACGATTTCTGATCACACAACCACTGTGTGAAATCTCAATATATTAGTGTCCCATGTCACCATCACGCCCTCTCCTATTCATTTCAGTGGTGCTGACTGGATATATTCACTATGCTTACAGCTTAGCAAGTCTCCCTTTCTCACCTCCAGGAACAACCGTCTGGTGTCACTCAGCCCAAACATTCAAGATAAATGAATCATTAACAGCTGGTAAACAACAGACTGTTTCTCCTTTCCTCACTCTGTCGACCAATGCTGCTGACCCTTACTCATACGCATGACTAATGTCACCTTACGTCATTTCTGGCTGAGCATTACAGTACTCTAAGGGCAATACTCATTCCTGCTTTCACCCAGTGTATGCTTCCAGACACTGGCTGCTGAGACAGAATCAGGTACCATGTCTGACATTTCTGTGCCCTTGAGACACTGAAACCAAGCTCAGCTGTGAATGATGCAGTTTCCCGACCTGTCCAGGACCTTGAAACAAGCTTTTAATGTGTAGATTTAAACATTTGACCCAATCCTAATAGCTGAATTGCAGAATAAATTAGTATCTCTTCCAAAAGATAAACTGCCTCACTTATAACTAATGGCTGCTCTGTTCACTTAAAAGGGCGAGGGCACAGTTTTCCCCTAAAAGGTGTCATGTCCGAAAAATCTACATTAGTGACATTCCCAGATCAGATCTTGAAAGATATAAATTCCAGGAGATTAATAACAGATTACGAGTTGCATTGACCAACTATAGACAGGTTCAAATAAACAGGGACCTTGTCATAAGGAGTCTGTTAAAGAGTACTCCATTTACACAGTATGTCAGGGCTTGGATCTGCTGCACAATTTCTAATTGGGTTGACAAATTTCAGAGACCAGATTCGCATTTCTGTTCCTGTGAACAGGGACACGTTTCCGCAGAGGTGGTGGTGTTTACTACCACGATCACGGACTCATTCTCATCAGTCACAGCAGCCACCTCTGATTTTGCATCATCATTCTATTTCAGTCGTGGGTCCCCCAGGGGGACAGCTTTGAGAACTGGCTGCAATAGCAATTAGCTCGGGTTCTACACGGATATGTTCCGGCCGAATGTGAACTGTGCGTCTGTGTGCGCGCGCGCGCGCGCGTAACCACGTGCGAGGGAGAGAACGACGGAGACAGCGAGAAAGAGCGAGAGTGAGAAAAAGACAGGAGAGAAAGAGAGAGTGCGGCAGAGAGAGAAAGTGCGAGACTGCGAGAGAGAGAGAGCGCAGCGAGAGACAGAGTGCGAGGGAGAGTGAAAGAGAGCGAGTGCGAGAGATCGAGAGCGAAGCGAGAGAGAGCGAGTGCGAGA